TTTTTGGAGACAGAGTCTCGCTCTGTTGCCCAGGCTGGAGTGCAGTGGTGAAATCTTGGCTCACTGCAACCTCTGCCTCCCAGGGTCAAGCGATTCTCCTAACTCAGCCTCCTGAATAGCTGGGACTACAGGCGTGTACCACCACAACTGGCTATTTTTTGTACACACACACACACACACACACGTGTGTGTGTGTGTGTGTGTGTGTATTTTTTTTGAGATAGAGTCTTGCTGTCACCAGGTGTCAGGCTGGAGTGCAGTGGCGCGGTCTCGGCTCACTGCAACCTCCACCTCCCGGGTTCAAGCAATTCTCCTACCTCAGCCTCCCAAGTAGCTGGGACTACAGGCGCATGCCACCATGCCCAGCTAATTTTTGTATTTTTAGTAGAGTCGGGGTTTCACCATGTTGGCCAGGATGGTCTCTATCTCTTGACCTTGTGCTCCACCTGCCTTGGCCTCCCAAAGTGCTGGGATTACAGGCATGAGCCACTGCGCCCAGCTAATTTTTTTATATTTTTAGTAGAGACGGTATTTCACGATGTTCGCCAGGCTGGCCTCAAACTCCTGATCTCAAATGATCTGCCTGCCTCAGCCTCCCAAAGTGCTGGGATTACAGGCATGAGCCACTGCACCCGGCTAATTTTTTAATATTTTTAGTAGAGATGGGGTTTTGCCATGTTCGCCAGGCTGGTCTCAATCTCCTGGTCTCAAATGATCTGCCTGCCTCAGCCTTCCAAAGTGCTGAGATTACAGGCGTGGGCCACCATGCCTGGCCCTGATTTTGTATTCTTAACCACACTGGCCAACTCTTCCAGAACAATGAATAACAGTGGTAACTTTTAAATGCAGTTCTAGGGGTTACTTAGTTCTGTACAGTTTATAAAGAAAAGCTCTTAACGCTAAAAAATCCTAATAATGACATATATTTGGGGCTTAGTACATGTGAGGTACTACTTTAAGGGCTTTATATATATGAGTTAATTTAATCCTCTAACAGTTCTATAAGGTAGGTTATGCTCAGTCTTCAGATGAGAAAACTAAAGTGTAAAGATGTTATCCTAACCTCTCCAAGACCACCTAGTCAATACAAGGCAGAGTGAGATTGGAATTTAGGAAGTCTGGCTCAGAATAGGTACACGTTTTTATAAGCATTTTTTTTTTTTTTTTTTAAATAAAAGCCTACAAAGAAGTTGCAAGCATAAAGGAAATTACAGCCAATTCCTATATAGCCTTCACCCAGAGTCAACTTTGTTAACATTTTGCCCCCACAGCCTTCTCTTTCTCTAAAAATACCTGTGTGTGACACGTATTATCTTCCCGCCACCCAAACCATTTCAGAGAAAAGTTACAGATTTCATGACCTCCCAAAGCATTCACTTTTAAATACTATACTCTGCTGCCTTCAAGATGCTTCTGCCTGCGTATTATCTTGCAAACCACAGATTCAAGCCTCTTTACAGCTCTAAACTGTGATTGATCTGTTCTAGTATTAAAAGGGGAGCTGCAGTCATTAGCCAAGGTTCAAGATTGTTATTAAGCCAATCTAGCAGGCGCTCAGGTCACTGGCCCGGGACAACAGCCAGGACAAGCAACTATAATGATTCATTATAAAACCCAAAATGAGTAAACTGGCCGACAGTCCAAGGAGTTAATAAGTATGGGAAGTACTTTCTGTCTGATTTCCAAGGTACTGTACATACTCACCACAGTAAATACTGGGGCTACACTCGCTAAAGTGGCTTGAGAGGCATCAGAAGTTCTAAACCGGTGCACTTCACCTGAAGAATAAATTAAGAAAATTCCTTGTGGTCATACGACTGGTTTTCACACAGAGCTAAAACACAACTCTCATACTATGTGGAGGCCTTCAGACTGTTAAATTATTTTTAAGTCTTTTTCCTATAGAAAAGAAGAAATACTGTTGTAATTTTAATATTTGTTGGTGATTACCTTAGGTTTAGCAGGGAATAACTTTTAAAAGTAAAGGCTTAGGAGAGGCTTTAAAATAACTGATGGATTCCAATCACCCTTTTAACTAATTATTGTTGATATCTCCGAGTTGGATAAAGGAATGTGCAACATCGTATTCTGAGATTTAAGAAAATGTCTGACGGTCCTCCTTTTTGCATAATTTAAAAGCCTCTTCATGCACATTTGTTAGTAGATACATTTTAGAAAACACATGTCCTAAGTACCACCTCTTTCAAGCATTCCAGTATCAGAATTATTTGACCGGCTTATAAATTATGAAACCTATGGATCTTACTTCTTCTCCACAGATATTCTTTATAGTGAATACTTATGAAATACCCCACTGAACTGGAATGAGGACAAATCTTTATTTGCAAATTAGTCTACTGAAAACACGTGATTACACTAAGTCGAAGTGAGCTCTGAAGTATAATCAAGTACATTTAACGACAGAGGACGTTGTTTTATGCTTCCAACGTAATCACGATGACTCCAGAGACTGTAGAAAAAAATCCTTATTTCTAATTTTTTTCCACTATATACATGTAATAATTCTTGTAATTTATTAATATCTTAAGTTTCATTTCCCTTTTAAAAAATACAAACTATCACTATAAGGATAAGAAGAATAAACGCCAAGGCATTTGCTGATGACAAATGCCTTCTAATGTTTTAGCATTTTAGATAGGGTTTTACCAGGATAGAGACTCTGAACGTCAATGCTTGTCGTAAAAGATTTCTCCAACTTAATAAAACTGGATTCCCAAGCATTATCAATGGAGGGTGCAGGGCATGTAACCCAATTTAGAAAGACTCTCTAGTAAGTGGGTAAGGAGGTGGTGAGGAGGAGTTACTGTGGGAGGCTTTTGAGAGCACAACTGAGAAAACATAATTTGAGAACACTGCTATATTCTCGATAAAGTCACTGATTTCCACACCTTTTATTCCTCAAATATTTGCACTCACATTTGTGAAAATCTTTTCACCATGCTTCAACATTTGGTGAAAAAATAAACAGCAACTAAAATTTCTTTTTTTCCCTCAATCTGATCTCCCTGGCTGTTTACTCATACAGTACTGTATTGGAAAATAAAGTCAAGTCGTTCTGAGAAGCAACTCAGTCTTCAGCCTCACTTCTAGGTGAGTCCTCAATCTCAGCAACTGAATAACTGTATAAATGTGTCCATAAGGACGAAACAGAAGACAGGGAAGAGAAATGAATGCTTATAACTTCGGAACAGTAAGATGAAATCCTTGTTTAAAAACACCTCTCAGCCAGGTATCAGGGGTCACGCCGGTAATCCCCGCGCTTTAGGAGGCTAATGCAGAAAAATCACTTGGGGCTAGGAGTTCGAGTCCAGCCTGGACAACACAGTGAGCCCCTGTCTCAAAAACACAACAAAAAGCCTCTCACAAGAGCACTTAAGCGGGGTGTTAACTAACGTGAGCACCGCCTGTAAACGATTCCTGGGTTGTTCCCACGGTTACAAAATCTGCAGCAAGGGCTGTGGGGGAGAAGGCGGAGAGCTGGCCGCTCAGATCCCGGCAGGGCACTGCGCACACAGCAAGGTCGCATTCTGGGCAGGTGGGGGGCAGGTGGGGGGCAGGTGGGACGCAGCTGGGCCTGCGCAAGCTCACAGAACACGCGGAGCAACAGCCGCGCCGCGCAAGGTAGTTGGGGCAAGAGCAGCGTCCCACGACTGTGGGCGCCAAGGGGCAAGTACCTGCCATACGGAGCCTGCCGGGCCCGCAAAGCTGCGCCGCCCGGCTCTTTCCAACCAGGTCGGCGGCGCGGCAGCACGCAGCAACGGGACGAGCCACAGAGGTCAAGTCCAAGGCCAGGGTACACAGCTTCCGCCGGGGAAGTCCCACCGCGCGAGGCAGGAGGCAGGGCAAACTCCGCAGGCATTCCATGGTGCCGGAGCGAGGTGCAGGCAGCGGCCAGACCCCAGACCAGCATGCCGGACGGCGGCCGCCGGGACTGCAGCACTAGCCCGGATCTACCGCCCGACCTGAAGACGCTTTGCACCAGGCATGCGCGGGGCGGGGCGTGCCGCGCCTGCGTGCTACGTCCCCACGCATGCTCGGAAGGTGCCTGTGGGCGTGCCTCTTAAGTCCGTGGCCAATAGACGTTGGCCTTCCTCCCCGTACCTGCACCTGGTCCTGTACCTAAGTGAGCGGGCAGGTGGGCTGGGAGATGGGTGGAACACGTGTGGAACACGTTTACCCGCGCTAAGTGAGCTGTCCAACCTAGGTTCTTGGGCCCTTGGAGTGCAGTGGCTTTGCGGTTTGTGGAGAATTTTCATACCTATGAAAATTGCAGTTTGGAAATGAGCAGCTTACTCATTCCCAAATGATTTAATTTATATTTAAATTTAACGCGGCGCAGGGAGCAAGAGGGAAGGCCCCCACTTTCTCCCTCTGAAGGTTTCTAGAATGAACTGAGTAGACAGATTGGTAGAAGAAAAAAGCATACGAAGTTTACTTAATGTGCATAGGGAAAAATCACAGAAGAGTGATTACCCAATAACTGAATAAGGTCCAGATGATTACCCAACAACTCAGTAAGGTCCAGATGCTTGTATACCCTTCTTGGTTGAGTAGAGGGAGATGGGTATGAATGGGCTCGAAAACCAGTGGTTTTGCAACCTCGGCCTTCCGGGTTTAAGCGATTCTCCTGCCTCAGCCTCCCGAGTAGCTGGGACCACAGGTGTGCACCACCATGCCCAGCTACTTTTTGTATTTTTAGTAGAGAGGGGGTTTCACCATGTTGTCCAGGATGGTCTTGATCTCTTGAACTCGTGATCTGCCTGCCTCAGTCTCCCAAAATCAGCACTTTGGGATTACAGGCGTAAGCCACTGTGTCCAGCTAGATTCTACTTTCATTTTTAAATGATTGCTCTGGCCTCCCTTTGGAGGCTGGATTATAGAGAGGGGAGAGTGAACGCAGAGAGACCTTTGGAAGGCTACATGTAGCAGGCATCCGTAAAATACTTGACAGGGGCTTGGGCTAGGGCAGGTGCAATGGATATGGTGAGGTTAGCCTAAAGAGATAGGAAGCAGGGTAAGTAGGACTTGATGATTAATTAGAGGAAGAAGGTATATTAGGTTGCTAGCGCTGTTGTAACACAATATCACACACTGGGTAGCATAAACAACAGAAATTATTTTTCTCACAGCTCTGGGAGTTAGTAGTGCAAGATCAAGGTTACAAAATCAAGGGTTGGCTTCATTTGAGACCTCTCTTCCTGGTTTGTGGATGTCAATATTCTGTGCACTCACATGGGCTTTCGTCTGTGCACACATCCCTGGTATCTCTTGGTGTCCTCATCTCGTCTTCTTTTAAAGGCACCCATTAGATTGCGTTAGGGCCCACCCTAATACAGTTAACCCCACCTGGAGATAAGGCTTTTACCTCTTTAAAGGCCCTTCTCCAAATTGAGTGACATTCTGAGATACTGGGGGTTAGGGTTTCACCATATGGATTTTATAGGGGAACACAATTCAGTTCATAACGGAAGATAAAGACGAAACCTATTGTATCATTCTAGCAGGAGCAAGATGCTGCATTATGATGCCATGTGCTGAATCAGGGAACCCTGGAGGAAGTGATGGCTTAGATTGGGACTTCCATTTGAGCTTGTTTAATTTGAGATTGCCACATAAATATCCAACAGAATAAACAGGTGGCCTAGGTACAGTAGCTCATGTATGTAATCCTAGCACTTTGGGAGGCTGAGGTGGGTGGATCAGTTAAGGTCAGGAGTCTGAGACCAGCCTGGGCAACATGGGGAAAACCCCGTCTCTACAAAAAAAATGCAAAAATTAGCTAGATGTGCTGGCATGCACTGTAATCCCAGCTACTTATGAGGCTAAGGCAGAAGAATTGCTTGAACCTGGGAGGTGAAGGTTGCAGTGAGCCAAAATCATGCCACTAAACTCCAGCCTGAGCAACAGAGCAAGACTCCATCTCAAACAAACAAGCAAATCATAATAATAAGCTGGGTGTGGTGGCTCACACCTGTAATCCCAGCACTTTGGGAGGCCGAGGCAGGTGGATCATGAGGTCAGGAATTCGAGACCAGCCTGAAAAACAAGATGAAACCCCATCTCTACTAAAAATACAAAAAGTTAGCCGGGCGTAGTGGACTGCGCCTGTAATCCCAGTTAGGAGGCTAAGGCAGGAGAATCGCTTGAACCCAGGAGGTGGAGGTTGCAGTGGACCAAGATGGGGCCACTACACTCCAGCCTAGGCAACAGATTAAGACTCCATCTCAATAATAGTAATAAAAACAGTTGGGTACATTGGTCTGGACCTGGGAAGAAAGTAAGTCTACACTAGGTATAGAAATGTAGGGGTTTTGGCATATAGTTTCTAAGGGGGGCCTTGGAATGCAGGAGATTGCCTAGGGAGAGAGGGGAGAAGAAGGCCCAGGACCGTCTCCAAGGCTCATCAAACAACACCACCGAGGTGGAGGAGGAGCCCGCAAACAAGACTAAGGAGGGCAGGCCCTTTCTCTCCTCTTAGTACATCCAGGTGGTCCTCAATTTGTGACGGAGTTACATCCAGATAAACCCATTGTAAATTGAAAATACCTGGCCAGACATAGTGGCTTATGCCTGTAATCCCAGCACTTTGGGAGGCTGAGGTGGGAGGATTACTTGAGCCTAGGAGTTTGAGAGCAGCCTGGACAACATAGTGAGATCCTGTTTCAAAAATAAAATAAAATAAAATTTACTGGGCTTGGTGGCATGCCTGTATTCCCAGCTACTCAAGAGGTTGGGGAAGGAGGATCCCTTGAGGCCAGGAAGTCAAGGATGCAGTCAGCCGAGATTACACCACAGCACTGTAGCCTGGGTGACAAAATGAGGTCCTGTCTCAAAAAAAAAAGTGCATATATACATAGATACACACACACATTTAGATCTATCTATCTACATATATCTATAGATATACCCATATCTATATGTCTATATATATCAACATATGTATATCTATCTATACATGTATCTTTTGTTTTTTTGAGACAGAGTCTCCCTATGTCACCCAGGTCTGAGTGCAGTGGTGTGATCTCGGCTCACTGCAACCTCCACCTCCCAGGTTCAAGCAATTCTTGTGCCTCAGCCTCCCAAGTAGCTTGGATCACAAGCGTGCGCAAGCATGCCCACCTAATTTTTTGTATTTTTAGTAAAGACAAGGTTTCATCCTGTTGCCCAGACTGGTCTCAAACTCCTGAGCTCAGGTGATCCACCAGCCTCAGCTTCCCAAAGTGCTGGGATTACAGGTGTAGCCACTGCGCCCAACCCTATAGATATGCCTATATCTATATATCTCTATATGTATACCTAAGTCAAAAATGCATTTAATTAATCTACTGAACATCATAGCCTAGCCTAGCCTACCTTAAACATTCTCAGAACTCGTGTGTTGGCCGAGAGTTGGGCACAATCATCAGACACCACAGTACACTGTAGAGTATTCGGCGCTTATCCTGGTGACACCTGGCTGACTTGGGGCTCTGCTCACTTCTGCTGCCCAGCACCACAAGAGTATTGTACAGCATACCACAAGCCCAGGAAAAGACCCAAATTCAAAACCCAAAGGATGGTTTCTACTGATTGTGTATCACCTTGGCACCATCATAAAGCTGAAACATCATCAGTCAAACCACCATAAGTCAGAGACCATCTATATTAGCCTAACTGGTGATAAGCCCAAATAAAATAGTAAAGTTACCCCGAGACCATACTGCTTTTGGGTCTGTTGGTGGAGTGGGGATGGTTAGGATGGCTGCAGTGTGACATGGTAAAAGCCCCATAAAACTACATACCTCAACCATACCTCACTTTCTGTGGAAACTGCTCTCTGTAACCCTGATGTGACAGGCAAGCAGTCCAAACCCATGCCATCTTGGCCCCTGCGACTTATAATAAGTAACTAGGGTCTGTAACTTCCACCCTACCCAGGCAATGTGTAAACTAATGCTTATCTTGACTTCTGTGAACCACTTAAGTAACAATCGGAATGTCCAAAGTTCCCTGGCCCTCAGAATGTCCGAAGCCTTTCACCCCCATCCCTGCCCAGGAGGTGGTTTATAGGCATAAAAGGTCTAGACACCCTCATTTCACGGCCGCGGGTTAGAGAGACGCGAATCCTCCATGGCCGCTGGGAGTAACGACCTTGTCATTTGGCCTAGTCTTTGTCTCAGTGGCGATTTCGCTCTGGCTCGGTTACAACAGCTTGAATTCCGCCTCCTCACAGATCAACAGTGGCATTAGATTCTCATAGAAGCGGGAACCCTATTGTTAACTGTGCATGAGAGGGATCTCGGCTGCATGCTCCTTATGAGAATCTAATATCTGATGATCTGTCACTGCCTCCCAACACCCCTAGATGGGACTGTCCAATTGTAGCAAGACAATCTGAAATCATTATTTCATTACACATTACACTGTAATAATAAAACATGTACAATAAATGTAACATGCTTGAATCATCCCAAATCCATGCACCCCACCCGGGGCCATAGGAACACTGTCTTCCACAAAACCAGTCCCTGGTGTCAAAAAGCTTGCGGACCACTGTGTTAGCATGTTCCCAACAGTGCCTTTAGGTATTCAGCTCAACCATCAGCACCTCTAACTTTCACAGAGATGGGAGCGAGGCTGAAATTTCAAATCTTCTTACGGCAAGGTTGGTTTTTTTGACAACCAGCCCCAGTGAGGATGTCCAGGTGCCCCCAGCTATCAGTCATCTCATTAGCATACAAAGACACATCACTTCATACATTACAAAGCCTTAGTGCTCTGCCTCAGGACACTGGGGCAGAGACCACACACAAACTCTTATTATGTTCCAGTAACCCACAGAATGGAAGAAAAAATCTGCACAGTAGATACTTCATAAGTGTCTCTTATCCAGAATGTATCTATAACTTTTACAATTCAACAACAAACACAACCCAATCTAAAAACTAACGAAGCATTTTAATACACACTTCACCAGCAAGCACTTGAGAGATGCTTAGCATCATTAGTCATA